CCACCTGGACAGCCACACTAGCCTAACACAATCTGTAAGGGGATGGAATTCCCCTAGAATTACACAAACCTCAATAAAGCCTGAATTTTGGTGTTCCTAGGTAAGTGTTATTGTTGCAGTTTTTTTGACAACATTCAAAAAGCTTTGAGTTAATTGTATTAAACTAAACTATACAACACTGTCATTTTTATGGGTACATGAACCCTAAATATCACATAGTCACCTAGTTGAACCTAATAGATAGTAAAGATTTGTTGATTAGATTTGAATAACTTACATAAGTCATCCTATGTAAGATTCGAAGTGCAGAAATACAATAAACTAAGACCCTATAAAATGAACTCATTAAACCAAAGAAATTGTCAACTGATATTGCAAATGCCAATAAGGAGGCAAATAGGAACTGATCAGCAGTCTATAAAGTCCTCAAAGACTGCAATGATTTTGCCAGAGATTTGGGCCTTAGCTTTCTGCACCAAGATAACAATAATGCCAGGGGACCGGGGAGATGGTTCAGTAGAATAAGTGCTTGCCTGGCAAGTGCAAGGGCCTGAGTTCAATCCCCAGTTCCAGGAAAAAAAAGAAAGAAAGAAAATGAAACAAAGGAAGAAAGAAAAAAAAAAAAAGAAGGAGAAAAACAATAATGCCAGTGCTGGTGACTAACACTGTCCAGCTCTTATTGCTGGACTTGGTGCTTGATGAGCATTTTGCATGCACTCTCTACAACAAATCTATTAGGGTTACTGTCTCCATCTTACAAAAGAAAAAGTTAAAACTAAAATTCTCTTTATCTTGTAGAAAATAGTCACATTTCCTAGACGCACATTAAATGAAAGTCTTAAAAATATCCTCTATGTTATTTGGCTATCTGGAACAACCCATTTATAAGAGTATTCTTTTAATGTGTCTCAGCTTTGAACAAATATTTTCACCTGTAAGATTCCCTGGAGACTCGTCACCCATCCAGAACTTGGGCCCTCTGTCCCTTTGGTCCTCAAAATATGGTTTTTATGACAGCATTCTTGATGTGGTTGATGAGATTATTAGAAATGCAGAATCTCAGGCCTCATTCCAGAAAAATCAGAAATGCATTTTATCAAGATCCCCAGGTTATTTATATATGCATTAAAGTTCAGAAGTGTAAAGTAGGTTTCCTGTGCTTAAGTTTTATTTTATTTTTATTTTTATTTATTTAGTTTTTGGCAGAACCAGGGATTGAACTCAGGCCCTTGCACTTGCCAGGGAAGCGCTTTTTCTACTGAGCCATCTCCCCAGCCCCGCTGCGCCTAAGTTTTAAACCTACTCCTGAAGTGATTCTGATATAGGTGATGGAAATACGAGAACTCATAAAACAGTGTTCCAGGCTTGACACTGAGCTGCAACCTACCGAGATGATGAGCGCACAGTATTCTGAGCAGCCAGGGTGTGTGTCTGAGAGACAGTGAGAGAGTGAGAGAGAATGAAGTAAGCTGATAGGAGATATGTGTGCACAGTAATCTGTGCTCTGATGCTCTGCTTGGTCCCGAAATAAAATCTAGGATGTTGGCAGGGTTTCACCTATGCTTTTAAAAATCCCTTGCACAAACAGAACTATAAGTAAAGATTTTTGAGAATGTGGCATTGATTCTTAATATAACTATGTTTCATTTACAAAAAATAAGTCCAGTTACCCCGGAGCTGTGCTGATGCTGCAGTAAGGTGTGTGACTTGTGTTGACAAGAGCACCAGTGCGAACGTGTGCTCCCTACCAGGGAACACACTCACGTGGTAAATTAAAGGTGCTTCTCCAAGAACAATGGAAATAACGGGGTAGGTTAATACCTAGAAGAAATCGCACCATCGGGCACATTCCTTACGACCTGTTTCCAAAAAAGTGGGCGTACCATCGGGGAGAGACTGGGGGAGGGGCATATTTTATAGCTAAGAGAAGAGCTGCCACCAGGTGGAGCAAAGTCACAGAAAATCGAGAGCGAGAATCAAAATCCTGGTCCTCTCCCAATCGTGGGTCACCTTTTTTTCCTGGATTTTAAGCCACAGACATTCTCGGTCTCTGTATTTGTGAAGTAAGGGAGGCTCTGAGATAGGCGAAAGATAAAGAGAACTTGAAAAAACATGAAACTACGAAAAGAATAATTGACTTTCTAACTCCACTGACGGCTGGATCAGAAAAGAGATCTCCTAACAAAAAGACCTGATCAGTCACGTTTTACTCTGTGTGAACCTGCTGCAGAGATTAAAGGAATCGCAAATCCATAGAAGCAGAATGGAAAACCGAAAAAAACTGCCGATTCGGAAGGCAGCTTTGAACTGTGAATCTGGCCCTACTGGGCCTCCAGACACTCCCGGGGCTTTCTAAGGCTGCAGACTCTTGTCTGTAAAATGAGAATAATGCTGTGAGGATTCCTGTAAAAGCTCACCTTAGTGGGTAAATGGCCACTCTTCAAGAACAAAATGTTGGCTTGCTAATATTAACATGTTTTGTTTTGTTTTTTCAGAACCAGGGATTGAACTCAGACCCTTGCGTTTGCCAGGGAAGAGCTTATTCCACTGAGCCATCTCCCCAGCCCCTTAACATTAACATGTTAACACTCAACACATTTTATTGGCTATACACTGGACACTAAGATAATTATGATTTTGTATCGATTTTAAATTTCTTTCTACTAAAGATGATTAAAACTGAGATTATAGCAATAAAGATAACCAGCATTCACTTGCTTGATGTGCGCAATAGATTGTAGGCACTTTTTTTTTTTTTTTTTTGAGATGTTGGTCTCCTGGCTCAGCCTTGCTCATAGCTGGGAATACAGGCTCAATTACACTCCTGGGTGGAAGCACTTTAAAAATATTATCTCAGTACGTGCTTATTTCACTGTCAGGCACTAAGAACTAATCCACTTTACAGATGAGGAGACTCCACCAACAATTCATATCTAGTGGCTGCAAATTCTGCTTCCACAGTGCACTTTCCAGGTACAAACAGAAAATAAATCCCAGTGGCACCACAAAGGATATGAAGTGCATTTAGATGTGAATAAATTTCATTTAGATTTGACTGCAGTTGCCACCTAAGTGGGCTGGCCGCCTCTCTCTCCTCCGGCCAACCCCTCCTTTCACACTGCCAACAGTTATCTGTGTACAGCACAAATCTGACCATGACACTTCTCTACTTAAAAGGCTCCCTGCTGTCTGTAGGACTCTGGCCAAGAGCTCAGCATGGCACGGGAGGCCTCTCCCAGCTGGGCCTGACCTTCCCTTCCAGCTTTGGCTTTGGACATCCTGGCTCTTACATAAGACAGGGCCACATGCAACAAGGGCCGCCCGGGGTGCAGCAGTCTAAACTCCTGAGTAGTAGAAGACAAACAACTTTTAAATATGCTTGGAGTTTCTTCCTTATATTCTGTTCTGTTGGCATATAATAAAAGGTACGCTAATAAAAGATTTGCAATTTTATTTTATTTGCAAGAAAAACAATGCCCCCACACTATCTATCTATCTATCTATCTATCTATATATTCATATTTCACCTTCTTTCAGATCTGGTATTTGGGTGGAAGATCTCTGTAGCCAAATCTGTAGTTCTGCCAGAGTAAAATGGTTCTTTCCTCTGCAAAGCATTCCTTTCCCTCCCTAAGGAAGCAAACTACTGACTATTCATCCTGCGTATACAGGCACTGGGTGTGTGCTCAGTTTAAGAGCACTCACTTAGCATCACAAGGTCTTGTTTTCCTCTTTTTTTTTTTCCCAGACAGGGTCTCGCCATGCAGTTCAGGCTGGCCTTGAGCTTACTTTATAACCCAAGCCAGTCTCTTGCAACGATCCTCCTGCCTCAGCCTCCAGAGTGCTGGTATTATAGGCCTGGGCCACTACGCCCAAGGTCTTGGGTTTGATTTCCAGCACCAAAAACAAATCCACTGAAACCCTGGTCGAGTACCACTCTGGCGAATCCTTACTCCCCAAGGCCTCTTCTGAAGGCCTATTTTCCTTCTCCAGTCAGAGTTCTGTACTTGGTTTTAACTAGGAGAGATTCTCTCATTATAGCATTATTGCACTGCCTGGAATTATTTATATGTACATTAGATATTTATTTGTACATTCAACGTTCGGGTATACAACGGAGCAGGAGGTCTCTCACCTCGGGAACCCAAGCTCTTAGCTTGGTGTACAGTAAGAACTCCAGTTTATCACTGGACGCATGAATGAATGACAGTCTCCAAGCACTCCCTTTAATCTCTCAGAGAAAACATGCTGTACCGGCCATGCCCTTGGACACATCACTTTTATAAATGAGGACCATACTATTTGAGAAGTGGTATTTGAGAAGGGGCCGAGAAGGTCCCCTGTGGTAAATATTTCCGTTAAATGGCTAGCAACATCCTGGGTGTGACTTGCTCCTACACCACGCGGTTCCCACTGTCCCACCTGTAGGTACTTCTGGGATGGGGAGGATACAGGGTTCAAGACTGGCGTTTTTCTCCACCTTGATGGAAAAGCTTCGCCTTCCCTTGCTTTCAACAGCCAGGTCCGCCACAGTTTCCCGTTCAGTTTCCCTCCCGGGGGTCTAACATCTTGCATGTGACACCGACTCTAGCCTATGCCCTGGATTCAGGATCAAGGCCGAGGACGGTCTCCCGCGGGGAAGGGCTCTCCACGCGGGGCTGAGTCCCGCGGCCCGAGGCGCAGGGCACCGCCCACGGCCGCCCCAGCGGGGCGCGCAGGCCCGGGCTGCGGTTGGCCG